GAGCAACACGGCTGCAGCCGCCAGAAGCCGGAGGGACTGCTGGCAAAAAAAACGCCGATTGTGTTAATGCGTAAGTCACTACGATTAAGATATTAATGTGTCATCACGATGGCACAGATAGATGTCGCTACATTTGTGCGTTCATTAATTTATGGTCCCCAAATGTGTTGTCATTCAGTGTTTGATCACCATCATCATCATCGACCTCATGATTTTAGATGCAGCAGCAGTGGGGAAAAAAAAGAACGTGGGAGCAAATTTGAAATAAATATAAAAACATCCTTCAGAGTGGTTAGTAGGTTTATTGGCAGATTGTATTTGTACATACAGTATTTCATCATGTACACAGCGATTTCCTCACAATGTCTCAGCTGTAGGATGATGATGGTCCTGTGATATTATCTGATATTATTTTTATACCGCAGCCCCTCAAAAGAAAACCTGTAACGCTCGTACAGAACGTCATCTGTTAAATCAAATGGATTCGAAAATACCGCTCACAGCGAAGCACTCCTAACAATCCGAGCACTGTAGTCCACAGGATCCGGCAAAAGTGGGCAGGCCATTTTCAGTGGGTGGTCTTTTATACCCGCTGAGCTCTTATCCTCAAACATAACCTGCTCCAGAGCAGGTTTGGCATTCCGCGTAAGTTACCGGGGCAACAGACCCGGATAAAAAGAGATCCACCTTCGTAGTACGGAAAACCCAGAAGTTATCTCGCTAAGACCAAATCCAGCTTCGTAGTACAGGCCTCAGGCTCTGAACATATGATACACCACAGTTCGTAGTATACATCTCGGGTAAGGGTGTCTATGATAACCTCTGCCCACCACTAAAATCACCAATAGGCCCTTTGACATCAGGACTAGACAATAGAACACCTTTTGGAGGTGGTCTTGAGGGTAGTGTTGATTTGTCTACCTATTCTCTAACCCAGTAGAGAATTTGTGGAATGTGCTGGACAACCAAGTCTCATCCTTAGAGGGCCCATGCTGCATTGTGAACTAGAAAAGCACTCAGAGAGTGCAGACCTCCGCCAAGCAGCTCATGTCCCCCCTTATATTGTGATTCACACCAAAACTTTTACTGTTACGTGTCTTTTATTAACTTTTATTTGTGTTTAAACTGGTATGTTCACTGTTCATAATGTTCCTAAAACAACAAAGCTCATATTAGATACATAAATGCATGATTTATTATGCAATATTTGTAAGCGTACACTCCCTTGTATCTTCATTGGTTATCTTTCAGCATTGAAAATTCCAACGTCACCCTTATTTTTGTGTGTTCTGGATCACAGTATCCGGAATTTTGTCTGGATCAGGATCAACCTTTGACACCTCATAAAGCTCATTGAGATCCTTTTGTGTAATTTTTTACTAAAGACTCTGGCCATTTTTATAGAGTTAAATGCAAAAATTCCAAAATTTGCCCTATCTCACAATGATAAAGAATCCTTCAAAAAATTCCTGGATCCAGAAGGCGATCCGGATCAACACCAAAATATAATGGGATCCTCCTGGGGCTGAGACGCACCTCTGGTGAAAATTTCAGGTTAATCCATCTGTAACTTTCTCCGTAAAGTTGTTCATAGACAAAAAAACAAACAAACAAACAAACAAACAAACCAACCAATGCTACCAAAAACATAACCTCCTTGGCGGAGGTAATTAAAGGATCTGCTGGTAGTGTCTGGTCCTTGAAAGGGTAAACATCAATGATGCTATTGGAACTAAGGCAAGAAGCTTCCCAACGGGGAAGCTGATTTGTGTTTTGGCTGTCAAATGTGGGACAAAACACATTTGGCCTTTATGAATCTTTTATCCTCACTAAAGTTTTCTTTTTCATTTTTTAAATTATTTTATTATACTTATTACACTTTTTTAATGTCTTCATTGAAGAATGTACTCAAAATTTCAAGGAAATTGTGAAAAAAGGGATGTCTGATCCATTAGAAGAGAACTATTTCTTCTGTTTTGTCTAAATGTGCAGCACTTTGGTTAACATTATTGTTTGTAAAAATGAGCTCCATATACTGTATATAGAGCGGATTAGACCCTATATGAGGTCTTCTGTATTGATCGTGTTTTCAGGATTAATCTTGTCTTATGTCTCTCTTTTCTAGGCAAACAACTGAGGTCTTAAATGACATCTTTCCCATTTGCTTTGTTTGATAAGAGCTCTTTACTGAAAGTCTCAAATGGTGTAATCGCAATGAAAGCCATGATTGAGACAGCAGCGAAGGAAGTAAGTGACTCAAATCACCACTCCAGCCAATTTATCAGGTTATGATGCTCCGTAAAAAAAAAAAAAAAAGAACGATCACAGGATTATGACAAATGTCAGTGTCACATTTATCAGTCAGAGCTGCTACTCTGGATTGTACTTGTTTGATGAGCTGTTTCACAAGATGATTACTCCCTCTGTCCTTGTTCTATCTCAGCATGAAAAAGAACAAAGTCTTTGTGGAGATGCTTGTTCTCATTTTAGTGCTTTTTTCCTGTCCATGTGCAAACTTGAGCATGTTCTCGGTTATTTTGTCATGCTCTTGCTTCTATTCTGGCTCATGTGGGTTTTTAAGATGACTGCTGTGTCTCTGTTTCCATAACAGAGAGTTTAGCTAACAATGACAGGTCACACAAAGAAGTTGTTCTTTGGTAATAACAGCTCGTCTGTCTTCTGTGGGGTGAAGTGAGGGAAAGAAGGAAGGCCCCTATTCAAATAGTAATTGCTCACAGTTAATCATTGGTGCCTGTGCGTCATGAGACTGGGCAAATTCTGCTTTGGGGGAAATTAGAGTGTGATTGTACAACAGCGGTCGTCACAAAAGTCAGCCATCAAATTAAAGATAAAAGAAAGTGGTATGGGGATTTTATTGCTCTGGGTTCATTAGACTTCAGAGTGTGACACAGAAACCGATCCACCTGGGAGGACCCTTTCAAGAGTGTTGGTAGAAAGGGAATACCGCTTAATTTCCGAATACCCATGTCGTTTTGCGCCTGCCATTTGTTCCCACCTTGCTCTTTAATTGATATCAGGACATTATCTCCCAAGTGAAAATGATTCTCTGCTGCAGATGTGTAGTTTTTCTCCAAGGGAAATCAGGACACAACTGCTGACTGAAATAAGGTGTAAAAGAGAAGATGTAGAGAAGGAGGTAGAGAGCTCTGTGGAGGACGTGAACTTTTCAATTACACAGTTTAACTGAGAAATTAAGAGAACAGCAGAGACTGAGTCGAGGTTAATTCCGATCTTTTAGGTATCATGTCTTAGGAGACAATGAAGACTGCTGAAAATCAAGCAGCAAAGCTCTGTCTGCTCATCTTTTGTAGTAAAGTGACATTGTAAGACTTCATATCTTTGACATATTTAAGATTTAGACATAAGAAGATTCCTTTACTGTCAGAAGGGCTCAGTGGGCTTTTACCAAAAGGAAGAAAAGGAGACAGACAAGGCTTTAGGTGTGGGAGCTTCGCAAGAAGTCTGTACTAGATTAATAGATACAGTTTAAAATGACAGTAATACTTTATCCAGGAGGACAGTGGCACTGGCAATGCGTTGATATATGTTTGGCAGCTAGCTCTTATTGGAAACAAAACACTTAAATGAAGTAGAGTGGCTCTAAGTCAAACTAAGTCTAACTGTTGTATTAAAAAAATTAGAGACCCGATTTACTAAAGGATTGCATGGATTTCAGTGTCTGCAGAGAATTGGTGGTAATTTTAGGGGCAACCTGCACAGAGCTGCAGAACTTTGTGGGTGTTTTTGGGCTTTGAGCAGATTCAACTAATGACTTTATCCATGGATATTTAATCATTTACTGATGCTTATTAAACACAAAAGCAGTGATGACAGCATCTTTTTGTTTGTTGTCACTTAAAACTCAACATAATGAAGGACAACTTCTTCTCTGCTTTGTCCTTTCAGCCTTTGAGTTCATAAAGCAGACACACTTTGACCTCTGACCTCTGGATAATAAGCTGTAGGCATCTTGACATGAATCACTAATTGAACTCACCAGCTCAGTAGCAGAGATAACACTGACGTTATTAATGGGCCACAGTGTGGCTGGTTCACACTTGATTTATTTTCATTGTTCATGTTAATACTGAATTAATTGCTTATATTTTCAGATTTATTAAGTGAAAGCCGGCTGCTAACCAGTCTGAAGTCCTCAGCAGCATAGTACTTCCTCATTTCATTAATCATATTTGACTTTTAAAGGGTACACATTATGAATGAGGAAAAAACAGGACATCACTCAGAAAACAAGAATACAAGCTGAGGGTTGTTACCAGGTTTAGTGCATCTCTTTCAACATAATCATCTTTTATTATTTTCCATTTACATTTCATCAAAACTAATTGACCAAGAACCCCCCCTTATTTTTTTATTTTTTTTGGTGAAATTTATTTTTCAGATCTGGCCTTTATTAGATGGGACAGCTTGAGAAAGAGACGATAAAAGAACAGGGTTCCTATACATCCTGGAAAATCAGCTAACCAGTTTTCCAGTACTGGAAAACACCTGGAAAATGGAAGAGAAAGTGAAATGTCTTGGAAATTATGTATTGTTCTGGAAATTTATTATAACGGGACAAGAAAACCGCCCTATCTGGCAACACTGGGACTCAGAGAGCTTGGGGGGTTCAAATATTTCCCTGCAGGCTGAGAGCTCCATTACCGTATTATAGCTAGGAGCAGAGCAAACTCCTGATAGTGAAAACAAACTGAACAAAAAAAGTGACACAGCTGCACAGAAACTGCACGTTGTAGACATCTGTGTTCACAATAAACATTGCCACACGAGAAGACAGTCTAAACTTTTTTAAACCTCTGAGTTTATGGTAATGTTATTGAGGACATTTTAGCTTGCACTGAATTGCTCATGTCTGTCTGTCTTTTGTGCTAACTGAGTTGCCGTCGCCAATTAACAACAGTGTTTATAAATGTGTAAAAGATAAAACATTTTTAAAAAAAGGGGGTGGGGTGGGGGGTGTTGCACAATAAATAGGACCCCATCCATCCATTTTCTACCGCTAATTCCCGTCGCCAGGGTCACGGGGGGGGGGGGGGGGGGCATCTTCAGGCAAAGGCAGGGGACACCCTGGACAAGTCGCCAGTTCATCGCAGGGCTGACATATAGAGACGAACAACCATCCACACTCACATTCACACCTATGGGCAATTTGGAAGTGGCCAATTAACCTAACCCCACTTCTGCATGTTTTTGGGATGTGGGAGGAAACCGGAGTACCCAGAGTAAACCCACGCAGACACAGGGAGAACATGCAAACTCCACACAGAAATGCCCTGACCTGGATTCGAACCCAGGACCTTCTCGCTGTGCGGCGACAGTGCTAACCACTACACCACTGTGCCGCCCCTTAACTGAGTTGCTGTCGCAATTCCAAGTCTGTGTTCCTCTAAGAGCCCAGCAAACCTGAGAGTGAAATACTAGTATTTTATACCTTAGATTAATGCCAATTAACAACAGTGTTTATGAATGTGTAAAAGATAAAATAAAATAAAAAAAGGGGGGGGGGGGGGGGTTGCACAATAAATAGGACCCATTTATGTAAATCAAATAGCAGAATAACAGATTATAGCTATGCTATTGCTATTAATCAACTAATAAATAATCAGTCAATCTCTAAAGAAGATTAGTGCAGTTTGGCTCAGATGTCCCATTTTTTTTATTTTTTATTCCTAATTCACTGATTGGACATCTCACACTTTAATCAACAGCAATTAACCAGAATGGCTCATGGTGAATGTAGAACATCTTAATGTAGCTTATTAAACTTTTCAAATGCATGTCCATTTTTTGTTGATTAAATAATGGATATTTACAGGACAAAAACACTTCTTAAAGGGGACCTGCCATCAAAATGTAATTTTGTCTGTTTTTGTGTCAGATAAGGTCCATATTATGTTCGTCTTATGTTGTAAATGTGAAAACAAACCGTTACGTCGTTTGCATTCTGTAAATGTTTAAAATAAAGGAACGGATAAACCAGGCCAATTGAAAAAACAGGTCCTTCTGACATCGCTCTGACCTTGCTCATTATTATTCAGGAGCGCGTCCTTGGTGAGCCGCGCCCACTCTCTCGTTCTCGTACTCATTCACAGTCAACATCACTCTCCAGAGCGGGACCCAGCTACCACTGTATCCGCTATGGGTCTCTTCCAAACGACCGGTGTTTCCTTCGGTTCACTGCCGGGAAAATGAACTTAAAGCTGAATGAGAAAACAACTTCCACCTCCTCTTCGGACTTGGGGTCTAAAATATATGGTTTAATACCTGCCGTTTTTAGCCTTTAGCATAAGGTGACCAGACGTCCCCAATTTCCGGGGACAGTCCCCGTATTGGATGACCTGTCCCCGGCAAAAGCTGTCCCCGAAAATGTCCCCGATTTAAGTGTTTCATGAATGAGAGCAAAAATGTTGCGTGTGGGCTCGAACAACGCTTATTACAGGAGCCGAATAGGTAGAAGGCACAAGTAAGCAGTCCTGAACAACAGTTCTTACAGGGTTATTACAAGGGGCATGCGCTGCTACTAAATAGTACCGAGACTTTGTCTGTGATCACACAGCCCCTGCACCGCCGCCGCCGCACCGAATATCCCCGGATATCATTACAGACATCTGGGCACCTTACTTTAGCACACATTAGCAAAATGGATAAAACGAAATCCGAACCTCCACTGCTGAGCCAATCAGAGCACAGCAGGCTTCACAGCAGTGATCCAATCAGAGCAAAGCTCATTACCATAAATGCTAATGAGCCAAAATCAGTTGATTTTCCTGTAAGGTTTTTTAGGCATACTAAAACAAACCATCAAATAACTTTTCAGCTAAAATTATGTTGCAAACATGATCAGAGGACATCAAGGATTATGAAAAAATGATAAAAATGGGTATTAAATTTTGATGGCAGGTCCCCTTTAATATTTTCAATTAAACTCCCCAGCTCAACCTAACTCCCTTCTGAAAATCTGCAATCAGTATGTTCACATTTTTTCCACATTGAATGTTTTTTACTAGGGCTGTCAAAAGTAAGCCGTTAATGCCCATTAATCCATCTTCATGATTGATCTGGTTTAAATTTTTTTTCACATAATTAGCCCATCTGCAGTGCAGAATGACTCAAGTTCCCTGAAACAACTCAATCAGGGCTCTTCACTAACGTTTTAAGTTAAGAGTTCCCTGCAATAGACAGGCCACACTGTCAACAATAAATACACAACAAAGCTTTCCCATTGTACCCAACCACAGGTACTGTCTAAGCCATTGGGGTTCAAAACAGTATCTGTTTTCTTCACCTGCTGCTCGGCCGTATCTTCCTGTACTTTTTATCATCAATACCTTCTGATTTGGCCCCTTCAGTCAGCTCTCCCTCTCTAAAAATTTGGCAGCACCATTTTGTTTTACCAATTCATATAAAGTTATTTAAATCTATAAATAAGGGTGTAAACATGAGTTTTGCCAGTATGATCTCCAACAGCAAAAGAGTGTGTTCATGAACCACCGAAAGCTAGAGGGCTGAGAACATAAGGCACCTCTAAAAACAGAGGTGGCAAGTCTGTTATTAACCATGTCAAACCTTTTGTTGGCTCAAACTGAGTGTTCTTGCTATAGTGTCCTTAATAACAGCATGTTCTTTCACTTCATATAAGTCACATCCAGCTCTGAGACAAGACCAAGACCTTGAATTAGTGGTATCGAGATTGATCTTCTCTGTTTAACTTGACAAACATTGGTTGTATCCTTGGTTAAAAATTGACTGGTTAAAGTGGCTTAAGAGTTGCTCCTCTTTTTAAAATTCTCTTCATAAAATCATGAAATTTTCTCAAAATGTGTGCTTAAGGTTCAGAATATCAGAATATGTGAAGATTACATGACTGACATACTGGCTTTAGTGGGGCTAGACCATAGACTGTATATAGAATTGATGCCGTCTGCCTCCTTACCAGGTGTAGACACCGCGAGAACAGCACCCTCTGGTGACGGGCTGCAGAATAGGTCATAAATCCTGCCTCCTCCAGTAATCCCTATGAAGCTGTGGACCAACCTTAGAAATTAATAACATGGAATATTAATTTGCCTCCCCCCTGGTTGTGATGTTGACATGTAGTTATCGTAAGACTGGTTTGTACTTAAGTCCTCTTTTTCTGTGCAGCTCCATTTTTAAAAATTAGTAGGGGGTTCATGTTTTCTGTGATTGACACTTGATGCAGCCTATAGATGTACGACGATTGTGTAGCTCACCCAGGGGATATGCTGTTTGAGCCAAGCATCATCACAGCGACTTTCCCACCCAAGATGTACAACGCTACTGCGCAAGTGGTGGTTCCAGGAAGTGGAGAAGATCCCGGAAATACCGAGAGCTTTTCAGCTTCAAATTCGTATAATGATGGAAGGGGGAACAAAGTTGTCCATAGTTCATACAGTCTATGGGCTAGACAGCTTCGTGACCTCTCATGTCCCACCACAACTTTGTTTTTTGAAGTTATGTTGCTGATTGTTAATCGAGAAGTCATGATTGATAAGTTTGCCTCACTCGCTGTTAGGTTTGGGCTCTCAAAAGCCATTAAATGATATTGTTTTCTCATCTTGTAGTTATGATATTGTGAACGTTTCCATTTTCCTCCACTTTATTCACAAAAACTGCTTTCAAGGGTGAAATACATGGATGGATTGCTCTCATCTAAAGACTAATTTAAAAGACCACCTTAAAATTAATTTAATAACAATAACAGTTGTCTAGACATATGTTATAATCAAGCTGTTCTATTTCACCTGTCTCCTATGTCCATTATCCCCCCCTGTTGTAGATCAACCAATCACAGCTTTAGGAAGAGTATGTCATACCCAGGAATTCCAGGCATGGGGTCAACCTCACTGAGACAAAATGTTCATCCTCCTCCTCTTGGAGTTGTTCTGAGATCATTGATGAATCACTCCTAGACGAGAACCAACTTGATTATTTTTACAGATGTTTGACATAAACCTGAGGAGAGCAATTTCTTTGGATTTGAAAATGATACAATCCTTAAAGTGAGAAGGATTTGTTTTGTAAGCACATTTGAACAGTTGGCGCTTCATTCAGACATTAGCATGCTTGTCATGGATTTCGGTCGGTGTGACTTGAAATAAGGGTCCTTGTTCATGCTTCATAAATCTCAGATTGAAGTACCTGAATAGCACCGGTGTCCTTGTTCCAAACACACAGCAGCTGACGATGATAATGATGATGATGATGATGACAATGATGATGATGATAATGGAGACACTCAGGCTTTGCTCATAATGTAAACGACTGCCTGCTGAATGGAACCTTGTAGCGGGCCCTTCATAGAAGTACAGCTGAAAGTGTGTACACACATCGCCTATACATACTGTACAGCATCTGCCACACACCTCCTGCCTCCCACACAAAGTGGTTTTCTTTTTTCCTCTCACACACCCACAGCCTCTCCATATGCTCACGCACATACACACTCTTAGGCTTGCAGGACTCTGGTGCTTTTAGCATGTTTCACCATGTTGCATCATTTATCTTCCTGTCAGTTTGTGCAAGGGCCCTGATCTCAATCCATATTCATGACCATCAAGTCATCAATTACTGTGTGTGTGTGGGAGAGAGAGAGCTGTAATGTGATCAAGAAACTTCCTCTCACTCAAAAACTTTAATTCAGGTTTTTCAATGCTTTGCAGGACTGATCTCACATGGATCAATAAGAGTCAGACGCTCTGGAAACACTGGTGCCTGTGTATCAATACTAACCTGTTTGATTTCACAACACATAGAAATAACTAGTTTAGGGCTAAACTGATTAAAGTCTATAAAGAAGTGATTTCTTGTAATGATCACTTTATTTACTTTAGCGGGCTTTCTGCCTCCTTAGCTCCATTTATTGCACTGTGCCTCTAATGAGGTTGATGATAAATTTCAAGTTAATGAGCCGTAATGGATGTAAATGAGCATAAATTGATACATTAGCGTCCTCCTTCAGGAGCCTCTTAATCTCACAGATGTAGTGACTCCAAATGAGGTATAAAGTCTTCTCTTATAAGGCCTGTCATGAACCCATGTACCAGACCTGATTGACCAAATTCAGATCTATTCAGCTGATACAACACAGAAGGTGAACAGAGCGACACCAGGATATAACACGTGATCATTGGACAGAAATGTCTGTCTTTACAAAATCAGAACTACATATGACTACTTTCAGATTATTAGACCAGATTAGAGGAAAAGTGGTGCCTTAATGTACAAGATGAGTATCCAAGAAGATAGAAGCTGTCTCCCCTTCTAAGTATACAGCCTGTCACCTTGCAGACACATGATTTCAGCCAGGCTTACTGGTTATTCATCATTCAGCATCCACATTTCTTTTTTCTTTAGGGCTCACAATAATGCTCAGTCTCTTCTTCATCTTCCTCCAAGAAATACTGTAAGTTTGTTGGTGGTTCGTCTGTCCTGACGTTTGGTTTAAACTATATGGAAAAATAAAAAAAATCCTAAAAAAACAAAACTCTTTAAAAAAAAATATATATATTTAGCTTATTTCACACTAACCCAAACAAACTTGATCACATTCTGCTCTGCTAAATGCCAACAAATCCCACACGCTGCCTTTAATAGTTTTCCTGCATCATTATTATTAGAGTAAATTGGTATTATGTCAGTGTATGTTGGGGACATAAAGAAATCACATTAGCCATTATAAAAGAGTAACAAAAACAACACTATAAATAAAACCAAAGCACACACAAAACAAAGCTGAATAAAAAAATTACAAACTAAAATTAATGGTAGTATAAGGGAAACAGATGAGAATAAAAAGGTTAAATTCATCATCATCAACAACAGCAGTAATGAAATAATGTAACTAAACTAGCACTGGTTTTATGTTATTTAGATTTATAACTAAAACAAGCACACTGTATCTTAGAAAGGGTGGTCTGTCCCTTTAAAAAGTATTTTCCACAATAACAGGTTATAAATGTATGCGTTACATTAATGTTTATATCTTTAAAATATCAGCACACAGAGCAAACAAAAGAGGAAATATCTAGATCAATGTTGATGATTTTTTGTCTCTCACCAAAGAGCCTGTAGACCTCTTGACCCCTCATGACGCACATTTTATATTCTCAATATTTAGACTTTAAAATTCTCCCAAATCTTTAAGTTATATTTCATGCTAGAAGGTAAAAGCATTGGCATCTTTCATTGTCTGAACCAAAGACTCTTTCGACTTCAGACAGTGCAGAGTCCTGCGGGTGTCAGGCCAGGAACCAGAATCAATAAAAACCTTAGTCTCCCTCCTGTCTTTGTCTCATTGGCTCACAAGTTTCCTTAAGTTTTTCAGATTTTTCAGTATACTTTGAGACTCATCGTGCCCTTTGTCCCCGTCAAACCTCTGACCTCTGAGTACCTTTCGTCTGGCTAAGACTCCCGGCTGAAAAGTGAAGGGACAGCATGTTTACTGTCGGGACCCCGAGGCGGCAACAACCTGCCTGAGGAAATCAGGTCGACTGAGTCAGTTATCTTTTTTTAAAGTCACTTCCTAGAAAACACTTGCTGCAGAGAAACTTGCCTGAATTCACCTGAATTACTATATGTGCTTGCATCAATTTCCTTTAGAACCTGACTTTTATATTATTTGACACTTGCTGACATTTGAAGGATACTTTTGAATTAAAGGTAAAATAAATGGAGGTAAATAAGATTGTCTTTTTGATTATTCTCATTTTTATATTTTAATATAACTACTCTAATCTGCATGGTCAGTCAACTGTTTGTGCAGGTTTGTGCAGGTTTGTGCGTGCGAGTGTGTGCAGCACTCTGCGTGATGACAGAAAAAAGACAAAATGTCAATCATAACAGCAGTCGGAGCAGATGCAGAACATTTCCTTTGAACTGCAGTGAACTCTCCCATCATGGAGACAATGTATTCACCCTGATCGGACCAGAGCAGCAAATGATCTCATTTATTTTCTGAGACCTGCTTATCTGATTTTCCATCTATTATAAATCCTCAATAATTTCATATTACTGTGTGGGAGCAGGACTCACACACATTATACCTCCTCTTTCTGTTTCCTTTGTGATCAATCTCATACATACACAACCCAGCATATGCACTCAATCTGCTTTGCATTACATCAGCATTGAACTGTTTGGGGTATTTTCTGTGTGACAGAGGCCCAGACAGCTCCACAGAGAGCTTCATTATATCCGGGCACAGCTGTGATGATCACTTTTCTGTAAAGGAGCAAAGAGTTTTGGATGATTAGCCAACTGTAAGCTGTCTGACCTCGTGGCACTCAGCTTCACACTTCGGTGGACTAATTGGCCCGTAAATCTTTGAGGAATTCAAACAGTGATTCAAACACTGACTGTCAGTGTTCGCCCGGCCCAGCAGGGAGCTGTGCCGCCTGCTCGCTGACAGCGCCATGCCAACAAGCATGACGCGGATAAATTGCTTGATTTCAGGTATGCATCTATACATCAGCGTAAGTGACTCGATAGCTTGGATGAAGGTCCTCATTAATATCTATAGTAATCAGACCCATTTCTTAGTTTTGTGCATTTTCTATGAACCAAATAAAAAAAATAACCTCAGAAAAATCTACCAAATAAATCTCAGGGTTAGAACTGAAGGCCAGGTCTAGTTTTCAGTTCGAACATTTCTGTTAAAACAAAGTTTAAAAGATGTCCAAGACCACCACTGAAAAAAAGAGTTCAGAGGGGGTTCAAATGTAAAGGTTTTTCTATCTGTTTGTACGGATTTATTCAGCATCTGCATTTAGATCACATTTCACTGAAATATTAGACTCTGCCTCGCAGATCATATTCTATATCATATGATATATCATATCATATACGGTATATCATATATGATTACAGATCATAACAGAAGAAATCAGTAAGACTTTTTCACAGCACTGCTACAATGGCTGTGAAAGTGTGTGTGTGTGTGTGTGTGTGTGTGTGTGTGTGTGTGTGTGTGTGTGTGTGTGTGTGTGTGTGTGTGTGTGTGTGTGTGTGTGTGTGTGTGTCATGGTGAGTATAGGTTTCATCCTCTGGAGAACTGGAGCATTAGGACAGACACTTGATAATGGTCGGTTTGATAGCTGGTGAGAAATTATGGTGTGGACTGAAGTAGTTTGATGATGACAAGCCTAAATTTTTATCTCTACATTCATGCTGTCAGCAGAGCAGAAACATGTCAACATGCTTATACAGTGTCTATTTACACGTATGTAGCTGATGGGGAACACGGGTCATTCAGAATAACAGATTTGTACAGAGGGAACCGTGACGGAGGTTCCATTTGAAGTTAGTTTGTGAGGATTTTGAGTTATGCAGCAGTTTGGGTTCCTGTGTTCCTCTCCTCTGTGTGTGTTCTCCCTCTCTCTCTCTCTCGCTGCAGCATTGGAGGCACGACGGGAGGCGGGGCTGGCCCGGACTGATTGCACGCACCTGATTCTCATTGGTGTCAGTTACCTGGCTTTATTTGCGAGCTCCTCTGACGACTCAGCACTGGAGGATTTCCCAGTCATGCAACACGTGTCTTGCCACGCTGATCTCCCGCCCGTGTATCCATCCTGCTTCTCAGTGTTTGTTTGTGAGTTCTTTTGTTACTTTCCAGAGAGTTTTTCCCTTGAGCAAATGTGATTTTGTGTTCGAGTTTTTTCCTCCAGTTGAGAAGATTTTTTTGGTTTACTATTTCTGTTGCACTTTGTCTTTTTACATCCTTAGTTGTTACTTGCCCCACGCGGCACTATCATTTGAACTTTGTTTTTTCACCAGCTATTTTGCCTTGCTCCAGTGATTATCTCCTAACCCTGGTTTTGTGTTTTTTAGTGGCAGTCCCAGCTGACCGTGCCTTTTCCCAGAAACTGCGATTTTCTGTTGTTCACTTTGATCTATTGTTTATTGTCAATAAATTTGGGCATTTGTTTCTGCATTTTTGGATCCTGGCCTTTGTTCGATTCTTAACATAGTGTAACTCCTCAAGCTGTGAAGCTCATTTATCACAAAAACCTGGTGAAGAGATCCCATCTCAGTCAGCAAACAGGCAAAGATATTGAACAAACCAACACGGATAACCAACGGAAACAAACAGGATAAAGAGCAGGGATGACTTTAATACTAGACAGTTCTTTCACTGATGAAATGGAGCATGTAAAAAAAATTACAAAACTGACCTCAGAGGAGAGGAAGAGCTAAGAGGACTGGAGATGAAGCATCGAAGAAAATTTGCTCTTGAGACCTGGAAGAAGCTGAAGAAGGAAAGAGAGAGAGGACAGAGAAAGAAACTCCCAAAAGAGAGAAGGATGCAGGAGGCCAAACAGAGAAAGGAGGAGCAGAGAAAGACTAATGAACTGAAGGCCCTGCAGAGATTGAACAGAAGCAGCTGAGGCAGAAGAGGCTTGACTAAAGAAAAGTGGTGTGGGTAGAGGAGGAGCCAGAAAACAGGCTCAGGCACAAACCTAGTGCCATGGCTACAGCAAGACAGTTGATTTTTCCTCAGCACACTAAAACTCAGACGGACAAGTGTGAAATCAGATCTGGAAGCACTTGGTGAGCATCAAAGTGCACACAAGGCAGATGGAGTGGACTAAGGAACGGTTGTAACCTTCTTGAAATCAAGTTGCTGACTTGAATGAGGGTGCTTTTAACAATGGTCCAGTGCTTCAGTGTCTTACCTTTGACACTAATTACCCACAGAGAGAGCAAACCAGTGTTGTGGAGAATGCCGGAACTGATCCCACTATCTCCTGCATAATAAGTGAGTGCTACTATTGGAGCTAATTCCCTCGTGAATATGTTCACAAGCAGGGTGCAGCAACACCAGAGTAGCTTCAACACTGTCCGCTTTAAACGGCAGCAGCAAAGAAGCTAAATGGCTAAAACAGCAGGGAGACGACCCATTGTCTAGTTTTGGTCCTTCTCCACAACCTTTCAAATCAGCCCCAGGTATAAACTTCTCTCCTCTGACTTAGAACTTGTCTCATAGAGTCAGTGTTATAAATAACTTAATTCACACCTATTTGCCAATGGATTTCCAACACTGAAATGCAAGTTCAGCCAACATGGAGAAATTACACCTAGCATATATACATATGCTAGGTATATGTCTTGAGTTTTGGCTACAGTTTACATGAGACTCAGAAAATCTAAGTGAGAGGGACTATTCAGGCCACCTGAACAGTTGAATCTGTTCACATGACCCTAAAAATATGGAAACCAAGCAAATTCAAGATTCTCATGCAGCCGACACACTTCCTGTAAGAGCCAGGGCACATTAGGCTACTGAAACAGAATCAACATTGGGGTTTACCAAACTGTTCCAAACCAAACTGGATTGTATGGTGGATTCATCCAAATGATTAAAAACTGGAGACTGGGTTTTAAATGTCACAACTGCAATCTCAGGTTAATCGGCTTTATTTGTGAAATAATTTTTTTCCTTTAAGTGTGAAACATCAAATTACAATCAGATAATCCAATATTACAGTCTACTGAATCTTTGAATGTCAATCTGGGACTTGTATTTATTTTTTCTCTTTTTAACTCAATCATCATCACTCGCTCTTCGATTACTGTCATGAATTGGTTACCACGACAACAGGCTCAACAATCAGAAAAGACCCTCCATCAGAGAATTTGCAAAGCATGTTACAGCCGTATTTGACCAATCTCTGAATGGCCCTTAACCCCGTGCCCATAACACTGAGTACATACGCTCTCCAGAGTTTATGATGTTATTACACTGAAGTCAGTGTGCACTGAGGGATCGACCACACATAATTAGAAGTGTATTTATGGTGGCTGTTACATGCCATTAATTTCCAGTAGCTTTATTGTGCCCATGCAGTTTTAGAGTGGAGGATGATTGGATTTGTGAGATGGAGGTTGTAAATTAAGGGGAAAAGTTAAGATCTAGCCATAAAAATCCAGAGCCTCTCCTTGCGATTAAAGCCTGGCTTTAAATATTTTCAAAGTATTTAATGTAAAGTTTGTGTAATTTATTTCTGCTGGATAAATTGATTTTCTGTTTCCCTTCTACTGAGTTACTGCCAATATATGTGTACTTCTAATGTTGCTCCTCCAAAGAACGGCATCAGGACAGCAAGAACACATTGGTAGAAACTGTAAGTCCATGCCATATCTGACTCATTCATGCCATGTCCTGTCAGTGTGTGCATGTCCACCTTTTGAGACTATAATCTTAACTAATCTCTGTGTGACCACAAAGATACCCAAATGCCCATCCGTTTACAACCCCACAGAGTGATTTCTTTGATTGGTGTGCCGAGAAACACATCTGCACATGTTAACGCCTGTCCTGCACGATAACAGATCAGGGTTGTGAACTGGTCAGTCATTATTATCTCTGCAATCACACACAGTTATACAGAGCTTATAATCTCCTTTTATTTTCTGGTTTGACTTCCCAGCTCATTGATCAGTTGGTCAAGCCACTCTCATCAGCTTTCTTTTGGCAGCAGCACCTAGTGGGTGGCAGAAGAAGACAGGGATACCAGTGGAGAGCAACAGAGGTAATCATGTCAGACATTCCTGTTTGGTTTCGCTCCAGGTCAACCCTAAAACTAAGCCCTTATTGTCTTTTGCTGACATATATTTAGCAATGGTCTGTTAACATCAATGTATATCTGAAGGTAATTGGAGAAAAATTTTGAATTTCCATGAAAGCAACATCTGATCATGGAGTAAATACATCCCAAAAAACATAAACCTCATGATAGATTTAAAAAACTTGAAGTTACTCCCAACTGTTCAGCCTGTAATGGCCTTGCTTTTAAACTTTTGGCCTATGGTGTACATACATACATACATCAAATAAATAAATAGATTTTTAAAAATCCACTTTTGTAGCAATTTCACATTTTTATTGGTTTATAAATAATCTTTTCCATCTGGCCCCATGCCAACCAAAACCAACAGTGAAGCAGTGTGAACATACTGACAATTGCCCTTAAAGACCTAATATGATTTCACTCTAATGTTACCTCTGTGTGTACATTTTAAAGCGAATATTCCTCTTGGCAACCGACTGGCGGCCATTTTTCCATTCCTCGTGTAGCAAGAGTGCAGTCACCATGGGAACTGGCTACATGAATACCATCTGTATAATTAGCTACCCTTGTATCTGGTTTCTCAGATAGAAAGACAGAGTAGGATGAAGGGAAAGAGGGAAAGGATAGAGGAGAGAAAAGACAGGGGCCTGGGGGTCCCTCTGCACCTCTCCTCTGTAATTGCAGTAGGAACTTCAGAGAAGCAAAGGAAGGCTGGAAAGAGAAAGTCAGCCAAATGAACAAATGGTGGGATAGATCACGCTTAGGGAGTGAAGAGATGACAGATATAGTAAAGTAAAGGGGGTAAAAAAGAGGAGGGGGCAGACAGATGGGTGGGGTTGAAGAGGAAATGTTTCAAAATGTGACAGTGAGCATGCATCACAATGAAATGTGTGCATGTAGAAGAAAATAAAATATGAGAGTATAAGAGTACAAAAGCAAGAAAGAAGGACAAATAAGAGACCCTGAGAGAAAGGAACTCACAGTTAAAATGAGGTAAAAATAAGAGGAAGAGCTTAGAAAATATCTTAAACAATTACAAGATATTTTTATATCTTTATATCTTCTTGACTAAAAAGCTTTTTCTGAACATATGAACATGGTGTTTATGTCTCAGGGTAACCCGATTCTCTAAAGCGAAAAGATCAATTCAAAACAGTGTTGCACCTGTCAGGCTATTGCAATTTGGCACAAATTCCCTTTCCCACTACCAACAAAGTTTGGTCTCTTTAAATACTCAAATAAACAGTAATTAACATCAAATCCCACCAAAGTGTGTATCACACCAGAAAAAAGGGAGGAGCAGACTCACTCACTTATAACCCTCCCAAACATGTCAGTGGGGACATCTGGAAGGAGATAAGGCATTTTCAAAAAGCAAACTGGTAGTATTTAAAAGGGTTCCCAAACAATTTAAAATTAGTGAAAAAACAACAAAAAACTGGTCCCTGCTTATGAAGGTATATTGGTCATTTACTTAATGGGAGGGCCTTTTAGACAAATTCTCAAATGCTGTGACTGAGAAGTGAGGGCGCTCAGTATTGAATGAGAATTGACCTGTCAAGGCTCATTTGTGTTCAATGTTACATACGGATCCAGATACAGTCGGAGCTCCCCCATCCATGCTTCGGGTTCTTTTCGTCCGTATTTCTGTACATATCCTTGAAGTTTACGGATACGGGTCAGACGAAGCAGTAACACTGGAATCTGTGGGGGCAGTGTTGCTGCTGTCACTACCCAATACGTATCTCTACAGAGCTGTGTGACTTGTAGTGCTGGATGTGGGGGGCTACCCAGCAAAGCAAGTTGTTGAATGCCCCAGCGGACATCCTGAGTACTGAAAATGACAACCGTCATCAATTTTTCTCATCGGTACTGCTAGAGAAAATAATTTTTCATCCTCCAACTGCGAGGCATTTAGTGGCTTGATCGACCACTGCATCCTCCAATGCTACCTCTGTTTCTGTTTTCTCTGCAAAATGTACATTATCACTGTCTCCTCCACAGTCACCATGTTTCTTTTTGTTTGTTGCTATCAGAAACTGTTGACTCCGGCCTGCCCCCTGGTGGATGTAATGGTTAACATCAATGCCAACATAAAGAACGCATGGAAGTATGTCGGCAGTGATGGAACCATCGTTTGAAATGGATGCATACATTTTCATATGTATGGCGAGCATAAATGAGCCTTTAAAAATCCAAATTAGAATTGATATTGGGGAATATTCAAGAAAAAAAAAGATGTAAAAACAGGTGTATTGTAAGCCCTCTAATTGAGGTTGGAGATTGAGAAAAGCTAAAGCCCTGTTCTGATATAGTGCCACAGTACTCGGCATCTGAAACACTTCAGAGTTCACTTGCCAGGTACTGATGTGAAGAAGAAAAGACATGAAGAAAGACAGAACAGTTTGTAGGAATGACAGAGCCTGAGAAAAGCAACGATTTCTTTAGTGATTCCTTTAAATGAGGACACATACTGGGACATGAAAAAAGAGGCACTATGAGAAGGAGAAAAAACTGTGAAAAACTAAGAAGAAAAAACAAAGGTTTTCCCTCAGTTTCTGAAGAAGAAGCTCACCTTGTGATGCTCTGGGTGTGCAATTACTCTATTACAGACGTATTTGGAACAGAGCTTGAGGGAAGTGTCACACAGCAGCATGAACTGGCTGTAAAATATAAATCCAAAGAGAAATCTGTGCTAATTGAAGTGCTTATGATGAACAAAGAAGAAAACATGTATTTAATATCCTTGACTTGACTCAAAAGAAATTGGAAACACTTTTTAAATAGTGTTTTTTATGGTGTAAATTATAAAAGATGATTCACTTTCCTTCAGGTTAAAATATTATTTTCGAATATCAACACTTAGTCATGGTCTGTGATAAGTCACAACAATGGAAAAAAACTGACATTTATTGTAAATATGTAACATGTTTTACTCTGAGAGAACCTCCACAGATTAAGTTTGTTATCAGCTCATTGCGTATTTTATTGACTGTTGAATTTGGCCTAAATCTTCACCTTGTCCCTGCTGCTCTTGTTGTTTATGAATGGTTAAAAATGGAACTTTGCCTTCTTGAACATCATTATTCATCAGCTCTGGGTTGTTGTGTTAACAGATGTTATTTTCAGTTGTAAGCCTGTTGGACATGAGAGTTAGTGCTGAAACAATCACTCCATAAGGAGGAAAGCTCTTCTCTGATTGGCTTCTGAAAGTGTAAATGTCATATCTGCAACAACATTCAGGCGTCACAATAAATCTTAAATCTCCATTATGCAACCAAACAAAGGTACAACTCAAGTTACAACATATCTGAGTTTCAATGTATGGTTCAACGTGGACTTGACACGCCACCTTAAAACCCCACTTCTACACAGCTGCTGCAACAGGACCCTAGAACTGATAAAAAGAGATTTCACCACAATCTCTATCGTTGGGCTATTTATAATAAACAATATTTTCTCTCTGTATCCATATAAAACACATCAGTGAATACTTACCAAGATTAACACTGATATCATCTTTTGGAGTCAGCACCTGGTTCTTGTCCTGTCTATTATTTGAGATGACCATTTTATTGGATTTATGGGTTCATCATTAAAAGCAGTGGCTTTGAGTGTCTGATAACACTTTGAGAGTTTACACCGGAGTTCATGTAAACCCTCCGGTTTGCTCAGGGCCCTGATAAAGCCTTTATATTTAACAATATGGGAGGAAGATCAGGCTGGTGTTCCTGTGCAGAGGACCGGCTGAGACTGCAGCCACCTCCAGCATGGAACAGCTGTCACTAGCTCCCCTCTGCTCCTCTTCCTCCTCCTCGTTTCTTTGTCTCCTACCCTCCTCTCACAGTCCTCCACTGTCACAGACATTCGAAACAATTCAGACTCTTTAAGACTCTCCCCTCCAGGCAGGTGAGAGCAACTTCATTTACATATCCTGTTTTTTTCCACTTAAGTGTGAAACTAGAGCACCACTTTGTGCTGAAGCAGACATGAGAGAGGTTAAATAAGGACAGAGCTTAATAATATAAGCTCAGTTTGTCACGTCAGCAGAGTAAACACTATGAGTAATGTGTACACTAGAACTTAACTCTTGGCCTGCAGCTTAATTTCCCATGGCTGCTGAACTTGAAACAGAACTTGTTTAAGGACACAAAAGACAGTGACAGTCACCCGTAATTAATAATCCAAAGTTCAGTGACTGACTCACACCGACTTTTCTGTCACAACTTGAGAGTTTAAGCTGTTTACAAGCATGTGTCAAATGTTTCAATTCAAATCACCCATAATCCTCAGTGTGCTCCAGGGTCCATCTCCAGCTGCGGGCCCCCTGATTTACTCAGACTCCCTAATGGGATCCACCGCCAGAAGAAAAAAACAAACTGTGTTATTGTGCATTTTAATTAATCCAGACACTGTGACACAAACATAGAGAGTGTTCTCTAGTCTATCTCCTTGTGAGGGAGCTGGAAAACCCTCCACTTACTGAGGTGATAAAAGTCTGTATAATGTTTGACTATTCATGGACATGTTTTTTGTTTATTTTATTTTGTTAAACCCTTCTAACATCTCCTCTCCTAGGGGTCAACATCTTGTGGGGGCGTGTCTGCATGGAGTGCACACATGGGGATGCAGCAAACAGGTTCCAGCAGTGGCAAATCTGCTTGTTAGGCTGGGTTAGTGATCAGAGAAGGGTGTGGAGGAGGAGGAGGGGGAGAGTGATTTATGATTTAGCTTTAGTTTGGTCTATTTTGGGTTATTTAGTTATTTTGGGTTAATTTGTATTCATTTATGGTCTTCTAGTTAAGTATTAAGGCAATTGTATATAGGGATTAATTGGTTAGAGGTCAGATTTGTGTATATTTATCACTAAAGGGGGAGATTAAGGCAGTCATGCAGGTGAGAGAAAGAGGGAGGGGGGAGCAGGTGAGAGAGCCTCTGCTCAGCTTAAAAGCAGCCACACCTGTGTGAGTGGGTGATTGTGTATGTGGCTTCCTGCAGCCTGCTGCTCAGAGGAGGATCATGTTGAAGACTGCTGTATGTTAATATTGGACTTATTAAAAATCTCAGAGCTCTGAAACCTGCTGTCTAACTCTGCTAACATATTGGAAATGGTAAATGCAAGCAGTGAAAGACATACCTGAAAACCATTTGTTTACGTACAGGCATTCTAGCAATGACTTTTGTGGAAGTGAAAGACAGTCGTTTATAATTTAAGTTAAAGTCTAACTCTGTGTTACGGTGTGTTTGACCATAACTTAAATTATCCCTTTAGAATATCCCTTTAAGAGAGAAGTTAAAAAGACTAGGACCTCTTAATGGTGCTACTGTTACTGTCTGCATCTATTAAAAGTGATAACAGAAATACAATGAGGTTTTATATTCATCTAAGTGGAAATTAAATGTCGATTTGAACTTAAAAGGAATAGTTTCTTTGTTTTAGGTGGGGTTGCCTGGGGTACTTGTCAATAGCTGTGGTGAGACGCCTCCATCTCCAGTTTTATTTTGATAGAACTTCCTGTTTTCCTTTCCTTCCTTGTGTTCCTGGTCTGGCTTGACTTTTTTTCAGAGCACCCTCCCCTCCCCCCGGTCGCTGAGGCTGAGAGAGACTCCACACCTGCACTTCATTGGCAATCATGGCTCTTGAAGAAGCCAGCAGCCCTCAGTCTCAGTGCCTGAGTATTGTCTTCGCTCCTGACTGGTACAGACGCTTCTCCTGGCCTTCTCCTCGGATAAGTGCTTGTGACTTTTTGCTCCCTGTGATTCTTTGTATGTATTCTCACTTCCATCTCCTCTGCTTCTCCACAGTGTCTCAACCCCACACAACAGCCAGCCAGCAAACCGGACTTTCTCTCGTGCCTTCTTCCCTGAGTTGGACATCAAAATTATATTGTTTAACTTGCTATCTGTCTCTGTGTCTGCTTCTGGGTCCACAAAATACACCACACACCACAATAGCAAGTGTATTCACCTCAGGAAATGCAAGACAGCTCAGCCCCCTTTGCTGAGAAATCAGCCCAGGACCTGTAACAGAAGCAAGACCATAAGCAGCTGTAAACAGGGTTAGCTCTACCATGTAACTTAACTCTTTCTTGCACAGTCCAGCAGAAGCAGTGCTCGAGGTGAAGGCGCTTACTCTTATTTGGAAATTTTTCAGGACTATTACATGTCAATTACATGACATGTAAATCATACAGCCTTATTTCAAAAAAATATTGAACTACTCCTTTAAGCTGGCTGATAAAAACACTACCGGTTAGCTATCAACCATGAGAAATGAGAGACTGCTTTTCAGCTGTACAAGTAAACCCATGATACCTGATTTAAGTCATTGTAGAAGGCCTCGTGAATAGACATGAAAAGAAGTATGGTTCAAGAAAAGCCCTCCATATGTACAAACTCCATATAGATGGTCATCTACCGCTTTGTTTGGCTGTACTGTTCTTCTGCTGTCTTTGGCCTCCATAACTTCACCTCGTAAATTTCATGTGGACAGATGGCATCTCTCTGGAGGAAGCACATATACTGAGGTAGGTAAAATATGTGTCCATTGGATACATGATGTAACAAAAACAAAAGAAGAAAGACAAGAAAAGGAAAAGGTAAGAGAAGGTGAAAGGAATGAAGTAGGTGGTAGAAGAGGAAGAGAATGGATGAAGAACAGAGTGAAGGAGAGTCTCCAAAGTGGCTCTTAAACGGCTTCAAATTGGTTATTAGTGTAATCAGGGGGAAAAGCAATGCAGAGGCCTCCTCCATTAGGGAGGATGGTGACTCTCTGTCCCTCTCTTCTTTTCTCCCTCTTCTGTCACTTCTTCTCCCATCATTGCTTCGTCTGTGGTGCTTCTTCAAAGACCCGTCCATCTTTTAATGCCACTCAGGCAGCAAGAAAAAGCCTCCTCTTCTCACATTGATGTGACAGCCTGAGCAAGGCGTACATCTCAACAGGGAGGATAATTTCTAAAAGTAGTAATCACTTTATTCTTAGACCAAGTCAAATAAAGTTCAGATATGCATGCAATATTTATGGAAACATTATCAGTGTGGATTAAACCTGAAACACTCAAGGAAAGAGAACCCAGTGCAAGGCAACACATTGTACAGTGATAGTGTTTATTTTCATTGTTGTGAACACATGGAATACAGACACACTCCTTCACACACACTCACCCAAAATAATAAGATGAATAATAAGATATCAATCCTTTAAAACACAACTTTCAGTGCCACCACCCATCATGGACAAAGATAATAAAGGCTGAACAATATCCATTACACACACATACAAAAATACAGTTATGTGGTTCAGCAGCTAAAGTAAGTAGAGGTTGACAGCCTACCTTTATTTGGTTGTGACAGGAGGTTGTTGTCTTTAGATCCTGTACATTATTTTTCTCTCCTGTGTTTCCTTACAGGACAGATTGATACCAAACAAACCATTTGAAAAGCAAAAACAAAAAAAAGCAAAAATTTGAGCCATCAATACCAAAATTTAATATGTATATGTAAATAGATGATAAATATGTTGATTTCTCCTTGGAAGACAATAATCTCATATATATGTGGAACTTTTAACCACATCTGACAGCCTCTGCTCATATGGCCATAAATAGGACAGAGAAGCACATTACTTAAGCTCTAATCTCATTACTCACCTCTTCCTTTGTAAACAACTTATTTCTACCATGACTGATATTCCACATATTTTCCAAACAATGATTCTGTTGGCCAGCTCTATTTGTACCATTGCAACAGAAATCCTAAATGGGTCTCTCAAAGGCATTTTCTATTCATTCCTACGGCCCTTTGTAAATTCTGACATTAGGAGTCAGGCCCTGTGCAACCTCTCTGTGGCTCATGGTTGTAATATGTTGAAATATGTTTATTGCGGTGGACTTTGCGAGTTTGCATGAGGCCTGATATCCAGAGTCATTTATAGTATCTATATTTATTGTATGTGAGGAGTCGATCACTTTGATGAGGATGTGTTTAAGATATTTTGGAGCAGACACTTGTGTCTTTTGAGTTTTAATCCCTTTCTAAGGTGCCAAAATCTTTTCTCTTTTCATTAGAGTCCCCTTCTCTGTTTCTTTTATTTTCCCAGACACTTTTCTCACATAACTTCCTCTTTTCTGTATTTTTTTCCTTTCTGACACCAAGCCTTCTTTCCATTGCAGCTCAGGTTGCTAAAAGGAGGACCTGCCGATCTTTCTCCAGCTCTTTCACAGTTTGCTCTTCCCCTTACACAGAGTCTTTTAAGGCTTGACCATCTCTCTCACAGTCTTTCTCTTTCCCCTTTTTACCACAACTCTTCCCTGTGGAGTCAAGCCAAATGGAGAAAATCCCTCAAAAGAGAGTTTTGATGATGAAACAAGTAAGGCAGCCATCGGAGAAATGCCTTGTAGCTCCAGCAGGGCATGCTGGGCAAGATTAGCAGCCAAAAGGACTTTTTCTCCCCTGCCGCTCACTCTCAGAGTGTAAAGTGAATCTTATATGGCAACTTTCCAAAGCAGACAAATTTCATCTATGACTTCTTGTTGAGGGGACTGAGATAAAAACAGAGGATGGGTACTGGATCAAAGCCCAGTGTCTTCAGTATTCAACAGTCCACCAAATGAGCAAGCTGGTTTGTAGGTGTGAAAGCCCCCTTCAGGGTAGCACAGGTGTTACTTTTCTTAAGTGAACAATAATGACCCATCAGACCGATCATACAAACCTTTGCTCGGAGGAGGGTCTAGAATTTGCTGAACTCTTTCCCCTTAAAATTGTGGAGAATGAATGAAAAAGAGGAAGTAGCATGGAGGCAGAGAGGATTTGTATCCATGTTACACTTTTTGCAATATAAGTGACAAAATGACCTCTGTGACCCTTGACTCACTCAGCCTATTACAGGAGTGAATTGCTTGTTTTTTAAGTGACAGATCAGATGCTAAGCTGTGAAAATATGTCTAATTTTAAGTGTCTGACAGTCCCCCTGAAACAATTTTACGTCATTATTGTCCCATCAATGAAAACAAAACCTTTTTTCTTTAGTCCTTCTGTTATCATTGGTGCATTATTCTGTCTTTGTCATAGAAGAGGCTGGCAGACAAACATTTGACCAATGGACCAATTTGCCAAAGTGAACTGAAGCGCTTTTAAAAATAAAAACAAAAACAAATGGCAGAACATTAAATTGGAAATGTCCCTTCATGACAACAACCACAAGACTAACAACTTTTAAAATTTGACCTCTTCAGACTGAAGCATTAGTGCTCCAATTTTCAGTAAGATTAGCAGAATCAGAGCGTGAGCAGTCACTGAAAGCCGTCTGTGAACTTAGCTTCACTCAAACTTGGATTAATGTCTTAAGAGTACAGTAACATTGTGTTCATACGTCTCCATTAGATAACTCTGCCAGCTCGACTTTTTTCTGCTGTCTTGAGACGGGGGGAGGGGAAATGAGAGGACAGATACAGACAAAGCCAAAGAGAGTGAAGTTAATGCAGAGGGAGTGAGACGGACAGAGTGGCAGTGAGGTGGGAGGAAGTCTAGACAGAGAGATGGACAGATACAAGAAGACACAGGACACCCAGGGGTAAAAGGCAAGGGACTAGCAGAAAATGGACAAGCAAGGACAAAAGAGAGGTGGGAAAAGGCAATTGGAAACTGAAAAAAAAAACTGAGGGACAGGGAAAGCAAGAGCAGGAGGCAGGAGTGACAGAGAGGGACAGAGGAGGAGACAGATCAAGCAAGAGAAGGAAGTAAAGGGCAACTCAGGAACCAGGGTGAGGGAGTAATTTATTTAACAGGGTTGCCATTGGGAATGGCATCTGTGAAGAATGTGTGGGTTGATTATGCAACCAATTGACTATAATTCAGCCAGCTGACAGAACATCATGACCGCTGATCCAAGAGGAGGGCAGACATCACTGAGGAGGAAATCAAGGCTGTGTAATGTTACAAACATTCCTGCGTGTGACTTCTATTGACCAACAGGTATGACACAGAGAGAGTGGGCTTATTGGGACCACACACAGCATGAGTGGATAAATACCTTAATGTTTACATTCAGATCACTGAAAAGGTGTCAACCATGCCAGTCAGTGTGGGTTTAATTATGAATAGTAGTAAAAGGTCTTATGTGGCAATGAGACAAAGCCATAGTTCTGATATTGTAACTTATTTAGGATTAGATATGACAAATGAAACACTGTCTTTACATATGCTGCCAAACTCGTCTTTGAACAGCTATGGAGCTGCAGGCATACTGTATTACAAAGCACATGATTTAGCAGAACAGACTTGGTAAAAATGCAAAACTATATTCATAAGTGTGTTCAACTCTTTCCCCACCATAAACAACACGAGACACTTCTGACTTACCTCATACAGTACATTCCTCCTGGTCCCATATAAATGCACAGAAGCTCCACAGGTCGCACCAAGGAGCACTGCAAAAAAACAAACGTAGAAAATGTGTTTTATATATATATATGTATATATATATATATATATATATATATATATATATACATATATATATATCAGTGGCGGCTGCTGGTCTTCCAAGGAGGGGAAGCTCATTTTTCTGGCCTACATCATAATTGTGTTTGTTTATTTGTATGTAACAGAACAGAGTCGCCAAACACAGAGCAGTCATTTTTAACAAAGACAAAAGTCGCTGATTCGCTTGTTTAGCTGTCAATCAAAAAAGGATTTCGCCTCAGACAGCTCATCCAATCATGGATGCAGAAGCTCGGAGTCCGGGAGAAAGTCGGGACCGCCATCTCGTCATAGAACTCCAGAGATGTCGAGCGTCCGATGGGCAGGACAAAGCCCAGCATTTATCCAATGAGCGTCTAGTTTCGCTGCTGGAACAACCCACTTTGAGCTTCCACATTGAAGTCCGCAGACTCTGAGCGTCCGGCTGTGTGAAGCACTAAGCCGCTGCGAGGATGAATGAGAATGAAGTTATGCCGGTTTCCTGTGATTATCAGCTTCTTATCACAGTGTCTGAACAAAAGTTGAAGGCTTTCTAGCGCGTATTTAGTTAATGAAATGTACACACAGCAGTATGTATTTCACCACTTTTTTTTTTTTCGGGGGGTGACATTTTAAGGGAAGCTGAGCTTCCCTTGCAGTCTTAGAGCAATCGCCACTGTATATATCTATATATATATACTGTATATATATATATATAGATAGATAGATATATAATAGTAATAGTAGCAATTAAGAAAGTATTAATAGTAGTTGAAGTAGAAGTGAAGATACTAGTTAAAGTATTATTAGTAGTGGACATGGTAGAAGTGGGATTTTGTATAGTAGTGGTATATAATGAATGAAAAGTGAAAATGATTTAAACCTGGGAAAAATTAAATAATTGAAAATCCTAAAGTATTAGAAAGGTTTGAAGTATCAGTGAGGTTTTAATCAGTTTGAATGGGTTTACACTTGTTTGAAGAATTGAATAATGCAAAAATAATGAGAATGATTTATAGTGGGGAAAATTTAAATGAATAAAAATCCTGTATACCCCATGTAGCTCAAAGTTTGTAGGAGAAGATAGGTGGTGAAGCAGACACTTGGTCAAAGTGTGTGCGTGTAGGTCTTGTAGACAGAGAGAGACTCACGCACACACACTGTCGGAATGTGTGGGCATGTCTTAATCAATTCATTCTACACAGCTGTTAGAGATCAAAGGGGCAAACTGACCAACTGTTGGAATAAAAAGCTGCCTAAACCCAGTGAATTTTTTCACATAGTACGATTTCCTTGAATCCCAGGATGAAAATAAGAATAAGAAAATAAGAAAAATAAGAATCCTGAGACCCTCATGAACACAATAATGTATATTTTTTTGTATCCACAGTGTAAAAAATGTGGTCACAACAGCAAGTTAAAAACGCCATCGCTGTAGTGATTGTCAGGGTTTCTTGGCCTAGATTTAACATGAGAGTTAATGGGCAGAATCTCTGCCGTCCCTGGACAGTTTGTCACCTGCTGGCTGTGGAGTGATAATTGTGGCTGTAGCAGCAAAATAATCACGCTTGGTTTAGTAGATACAAAACATTCTCCCCGCTCTAGTGATGACATCATCCACTATAGCTCTTCCAATACACACCCATTATAAGGCCTAAAATTTGCTGAAAACCATGAGGTGCTCAAAACTAAATTGTGGAAAAACTGTAAAAGATATTTAAATGAATACAACAGTAATAGCTGAAAAGATTATGAACATTTTAAAGCGAAAATAAGGTCTGTAGGTGAAAGTATGCTCTTCCGGGGCCCTCGCCAGTAAGTCTCCTCCTGTGTTGTCTGATCTGCTACCTCACCGCTGCGGGCTCCAGGACGGCGCCCTGGCGTGTAAGTGTCCTTCTCGGCACAGTCCAATCCCTGATTCAGACTGTCCTCTGTCAGATTCTGCCTTGTGTCGTTGGCTGCCTGCTGGCTGTTGCTCTTTCTGTTTCAGCCATGGCTCCACGCTCCTCTCCATCTGGCTGTGCCAGCTGCACCTGTCTGGCATAAAAGATCCAGGAGCTGGAGAGAAGGATCTCCACCCTCTACCAGATCCAGGAAGCCGAGAAACTCATGGACACCATCATCTTCAGAACACCACATCCCGACTCCACCGGCTCATCGAATCCAGACCCCGCCGCTCCAAACACCTCTCCTCCGGCTGCTGCGACCACCTCTCCTCCACCTGCTCATCCATCCCTCTCCCCTGACATCGTCTCGACAAGGCTGGGAGCAAAACCCAAGATTAAACCAGTGCTCCGGCTAGCTCCACTCCATCCCTGCAGGAGCACTGGTCCCACATCACCGCCCGCACCGGGAAAACAAAACTCCCACCTCAGACTCCCCTCTTCCACCTCCACCTGAAGAACAGGTTCGACACCCTGGACCTCCATGACTTCCCCCCGCTGCCCGCAGGATCCCAGCCAATGTCCACCCGGCTGTCTCACGGGTCCTCCAGCTCTCCGCCGTCCCGTCCGCCCCCCATGCCCAACCATCCGCACACCGGGTCCCTCTGGTGGCGCTCGATGCTGAGCTTCACACTTGCACCGCGTCTGGCCCCTGTCCCTCCCGTCTCGTCTCCAATGTCCTTCTCGGCGAGTTCCCCCCCTCCTCCTACATATTTCTCTCCGGTCACGCAGTCTCCACGTCCACTTTTCCCTCCGACGACTTTAATTGTGGGCGACTCCATCGTGAGAAACATCTGCTTTTTTAACACTGTCACATGGTGTTTCCCCGGTGCAAGGGTCCTTGACATTTTAACACTCCTCCCCTCTCTGTTAAAATCTCTCCCAACTTCCATCCAGAGAATCATAATTCATGTCAGTACAAATGACACGTCCCTCCACCAGACCGAGCTCACGAAGGACCATTTTACCCAACTTTTTAACTTCCTGAAGAACTGTGAACTGTCTGTTTTTATCAGCGGTCCCATTTCCACTTCTGGTTGTGGGTGCGGGCACTTCAGCAGAGTGCTCAGCTTGCACACCTAGCTCCAATCTGCCTGCCAAGCCCATAGCTTTGCCTTTGTGGACAGTTTTAATCTTTTTTGGAACCGTTCGTCCCTTTTTAAACTGGATGGTATCCACCCAAACACCACAGGTAGCTGCATGTTAGCGGCTAACCTGCAGCACACTGTACACTGTTCACCATGTGACTGACTATTTACTTCCCCCCCACACACACCCCCCTCTCCCTCTGTGGTGCACCCACTGTTGACAGGTCCTCCCCAGAGCTCCCCCTGCTGGCAAATTCTGTCACTGACTCCCTCTGCCATCTTTTCCCCACTCCCAAATAATCACAGTAGCATCCAACTCCTCCCTATTCCTGTCCATATCACCAACAGACACCACTCTGATAGAAACACCACCCGGACTGTCAATCACTCTGTTTTAGCAAGCCCATCCATGCTGGCTCCCATCCTCACCAAACATGACAATACCTCTGTCAGCTTCGGACTTCTCAACATCCGCTCACTCACCAACAAGGGACACATCATCGACGATCTCCTCACTGACCGCAAGCTGGACTTCCTCTGCATCACTGAAACATGGCAACAACCAAATGACTTCTCATCACTCAACGACTCCACCCCCCCGGACTTCGGACTTCACCTACCTCTCCCACCCCCGCAGCCACGGCCGTGGTGGAGGTATTGCCGTCATCCACCACAAGAAGTGGAAAGTTCTACCACTGTCCCTGCCTCTCGTCTCCTCATTCGAACTTCTGGCAATTACACTCCCTGGACCCACTCCCACCATCATTGCCACCATCTACGGCCCCCCCAAGCCCCACACCGACTTCTTAAATGACTTCTCTGTTCTACTCACCCATCTATGCACACTCTCACCAAATATAATAATACTGGGGGACTTCAATATCCACATTGACAACACCAACCTGCCCCTCACCAGAGACTTCTCATCATGCCTGGACAGTTTTGGACTCCATCAATTCATCAACTTCCCGACACACACTAAAGGACACACTCTGGATCTACTCTGCTGCTCTGGCCTCATCCCATCCAACTGCACAGCCAATGATCTCTATGTACTGTAAGTGACCACCTCCTCATCTTCTTCAGTATTCCTCTCTGCCTCGCTAGAATTAAATCACCACGCTTCATTTCATTCCGCAATCTTAAGAACATAATTCTTGACACTCTGCACGCTAACATCAACAATATTTTGATCCCGGACTGTTCCACTACCCCTGATGAAATAATATCCCATTACAACACCTGTTTAAATAACATCCACAACTCCCTCACTCTAGTCAAAACACGCTCTGTTTCCTTCTCCACAACTGCTCCCTGGTACACCCCCCATCTCCGCGCCATGAAAACCAAAGGCCGCCAACTGGAAAGAGACAACTACTCCACCCAGATCATCTCCAACAAAGGAAACACCAGATCAATATTCACTCTCCTCAACAAGTCTCTCCAGCCACCGAACCCCACCCCCCCACCTGTATTCAACCGACACCTGCAACACCCTAATGCAGTTTTTTAAACACCTTAAGGCGTTTTACAATCTCTCTCTCTCTGTATCCTTCTTTCCTCAATATACAAATCTGTACTTTTGTTTCTTGACTCAGTTGCTTCTTTCTAGCCATTTCTGCAGTATTTTGAATGCAGTTGAGATTTATTAGGATTTTTGTATGCAGGCTCTCAAAAGCCAAAAAGTTGAAGTAAATGATCCAACTGTGATTTGTTTTTTTTGCTTTTGCACTGAAGTTGTAACTCTTGCAAATGTTTTCAACCTTAAAACTAAGCCCTTATTATCTTTTGCTGACATATATTTAGCAATGGTCTGTTAACATCAGTGTATATCTAAAAGGTAAATGGAGTAAAATGGTGCATTTCCATGAAAGCAACATCTGATCATGGAGGAAATACATCCCAAAATACATAAAACTCATGCTGGATTTAAAAAAAAAAGCATTGTGAACAAAATACTTGAAGTTACTCCCAACTGTTCGGCCTGTAATGGCCTTGCTTCCAAACTTTTGGCCTTTAGTGTATATATATATAACCCCTCAGCACTTGAAGCAATACTTTGTGATTCTCCTGTTTCTTTCTTCTTATTACTATTCTTCTGTACCTTTCTTGCCGCACTCCTTCTCCTTCCCACTTTATGCTATTTCAACCATTCAAACTTTATACTATTCCACTCCTTCAGGACATGATTGCGTGCATTTTTTATTTCTTTCTACCCTGTGTTACTTTTGTTATTTTTAACTTTTGTGCAAATCTTTTTTTCCATTAGAAATGAATGGGGAACTCTTCCAATTTTTTCCTTTCACTCTCCCACCTTATCAGCCTTTTAACTTAGCCTGACAATCACTACAGCGATGGCATTTTTAACTCGCTGTTATGACCACATTTTTTACACTATGGATACAAAAAATATACATCATTGTGTTCATGAGGGTCTCAGGATTCCTAAGATGTTCTTGTTTTCATCCTGGGATTCAAGGAAATCGTACTATGTGAAAAAATTCACTGGGGTTATTCCAACAGTTGGTCAGTTTGTCCCTTTGATCTCTAACAGCTGTGTAAAATGAATTGATTAAGACATGCCCACACATTCCGACAGTGTGTGTGCGTGAGTCTCGCTCTGTCTACAAGACCTACACGCACACACTTTGACCAAGTGTCTGCTTCACCACCTATCTTCTCCCACAAACTTTGAGCTACATGGGGTATACAGGATTTTCATTTATTTAAATTTTCCCCACTATAAATCATTCTCATTATTTTTGCATTATTCAATTCTTCAAACAAGTGTAAACCCATTCAAACTGATTAAAACCTCACTGATACTTCAAACCTTTCTAATACTTTAGGATTTTCAATTATTTAATTTTTCCCAGGTTTAAATCATTTTCACTTTTCATTCATTATATACTTCTTCAAACAAAATCCCACTTCTACTACGTCCACTAGTAATAATACTTTAACTAGTATCTTCACCTCTACTTCAACTACTTTAATACTTTCTTAACTGCTACTATTACTTCTACCACTAGCTCTACTACACTGACTTCTACTTCTTCTATTCTAAAACTACTGCTACTATTAATATGACAACTAATATCACTACTATGACTACTTATAATCATAGTACTACTAGTACTACAACTTAAACTGATGCCACTTCTCACTTTTCTGTGGTTTTCTTCATACAAATGTGTGCAATTTCAGACATTTTTGTCAGCCTCTTTCCTCATGAACATAATTTCGATGTATGTAGCACATTCATACTTCTTGTAATTCAACACTTTTCACATTCATCCAGCTTCTACTTCTTCTTCACCTCTTCATCACATTTTACATTTATACCTTCCTCCATTTTTTTTTAATTTTTTATATTTTTTTAGCAGTTTTGCATTGCTTTTTCTGCTTTCAGCATTCAGCACTCAGCATTTCCATGCATGGGTAAAGTACAGTAAAAGAGTAAGAGACAAAAACCTGGCTCTGGGGTCAAGCTCACTCCATTACATCTTGGGGCCTGTTACAGCCACTTTGTACAGGTTTTTTTTTTTTCTTAAGTTAAGGTGTCCACACTAAAATATACTTGAAAATAATTATCGCTGAAACTTAGAGTGTTTTTACACTTGAAAGTCTGGACCAAGGTCTGTGTTTTTGATACATCATATACATTTGGTTTGGTCTGTTTACGTTTCACACTGTCATTATTGCAAAGAGACTAACAGACTCAGCATGACATACCTACGTGATATCGTCATCAACTACATACTTTGCGTATCTCTCTAGTTTCCATTAATTAGTCATTTGGCCGGTGGCTGTCAAACATCAACACATTGAAGAATAGGGGTCTTGAATGTTGAAATGAGGCTCGTCTGAGTTTGTCTTGTGAATTTGATCATTAGACGGCAACTTTATCGACATCGACAGGAAAGGAGCAGAAAGTATACAATCCTGTGAGCCATTGCAACACTGACTCGGGAGAGAAAGTCTGTGTTGTAAATCTCTTAAAAAACAGTCAATAGGGAGGTATAACTTCATCTCCAATATTATAAAATTCCCCGTTCTTTGACAATCTCCATTCAACACTTCTAGTCCCTGCGTCATTTCCTGTCTTAAGTATGAAGGTCCAAACCAATCAACATAATGCCTTCACACTAGGCATAAACCACACCTTAGTTCACTTTGGTCTGGACTGAGACCACCTCTTTTGGTTGGACCAAGGTCTGGCTGTTTGGTCCAGACCAAGGACCAGGGGGAGGTTTCACACCAGACAACGTAGGTGTGCAAAGCCCCTTGAAGTGGAACCTTTGTGGATGTAAAGAACATCTTAACTGATAAACCTTAAATTAGGACAGACCAAAATACTGTGGCATATATGAAACTTAGACTTCTAGTAACCAGTCAGAGCAAAGCTTTTATTTTTGTTAATTGTTTAAGAGCTATTTTTACTGCTGAACTGCCTCTAAATACAAAGAAGAGGAAGCAATAATGGAAGTCTCAAAACTAAACTTTACTCTTCACCAGACAATACTGCCCATCAACTAAAATGAAGATTACTTTGGTTATATGTGATGAGCTCAAAAGACAGGATTGAGGTGATCAGTAGATATACAGGTGTGTGCAGTGCACACAGTATATATAATTTATTTCCTGTTGTATAGATGGATGGCATTGTTTCATTAAGGGTTACTACTACCCTC